GAGTGCCACGCCCAACGTCATTGGGACAGCGGGACGAAACAGCCGCGACTGTGCTTTGGAGCCAGCGGCACCTGCTGGCCGCAGTTGGGCGGTGCGAGTGGGACGCCTCACCGCACGGGTGTTGTGATGGCACCTCGCAGCGGCTCTTGTGATGGTTCCGACGCTGCAGCTCGACATGTGGCGGGGAGTAAAGTGTGACCGCAGTGGACCATGAGCAGCACCAACATGAGGCTGAACGATTTCCTTTCGAATTATGTTGGCGGCAGGGCGGCCGTTGATGAAAGACTACAATGTGACGATGGAGATGTTTGTTCAGGAGCCGGATGGTTACGCACAAGACCAGCGGCTTCTTGAAGAAATTCTTAACCTAACTGCGCACCAAGCGCTGGAGGCCATGAATAAGCCTCTTCACGGAGGTGTGCTCTCTCTCGGGCAGCGTGGGAACTATGAACGAAAAGGATACGATCACTCCTCTTGCAAGGGGAACACCAAACGGAGTACTCACGCAGGTACTGACAGAAGCGAGGCGGGAGGCAGAGGAAAGGCTAAGAGGAACGCAGGAAATGAAATTTACCATTTCCACTAATATCGAAGATGTACTGTTTAAAGGAAGAGTTCGCGTCAATGAAATGAAGCTGAACGACTTTCTTACGAGGGAACCGGACGGCAGGGGCGTTGTGTACACCAATCGGGATCTCTTGCTGGAGGAGTTTTTCAAGGACCCCGCGAAGTATAACCGTGATGAAGGAGCACTGAACGAAATACAGGCATCCGGTCATTATTTGGGTATGAAGCGAGCTGTGAAGGGTGAAGTGATCTTCGATGAGGATGTACGCAGGCTTTGCGATAAGGGTGTCAACAATCTACCGGGGCGGTCATTGGCTGCTGCGGAGGTAAAAGCAACTGTTCATAACTCCAGTAAACATTTCTTGGATGCAGCTGCCGAGGAGGCGAGGAACCCAACGACGACGAGCACACCGGAGAAACTGCAGGGATTGTACGAGTCTGTGCACAATGCGAGGTGGAGCCATGCGGTGGAACTTCCGGACGGCGTAGAGCGAAAGAAAACGGGGACGGGAATGGGGGTGCATGAGGGGAGGCCAGAACAGTCATGGTCGTACAAGAAAGCTGACGACGCTATCGAAGAGAATGACGCTGTGCAGCAATTCGGTGCAGCACCTCCCGTGCTGATGTTGCTCGCCTCGGAGAAGGGATGGCCGTGCTCGTGGCATACGATACAGGATCTTCCTAAGGACGTTTTTGTAAACTGTGAGGTGGATCGAGCGTGGCAGATCGTCAAGGGCGATGTAACCGCGTGGCTCAGCCCTCACGGTGTGACCGACTTTGAGCCCAAGCGACGTGTGCTGATGGGGACGCCCGGGATCGGGAAGTCGGTGGCTGCCGGCTCGTACCTCCTCTACCAGCTGCTGCACTGCGGTGTCGAGAAACTCCAAGTGGTAGTCCACTGTTTTGGTGGAGGAGATGCGTACGTGTCTGACAAGACCACCAGAGCGGTGACAAGATGCAGCGATGAGGGCATGTGCGTCTCGGAGTTGAGAAGTTTGAGGGGGCACGGGAGGAATGTGTATATTATCTACGATGTGGCAAAGGAGGGAACGCCGCCACCGAGACATTTTGCGCCTACTTCTGGATGGAGCATGATTGCGGTGTCATTCCCAAAGGTAGCCAACTATGATGAGTGGGAGAGGCAGCTACAAGCCGCGAGAATCATCGTGAATTGCCCCGACGAGGTGGATGTGAAGGCGATGTGCGCCCGGATAACGCGTGGCGGGACCAAAGAGAAACAGGCGGAGTGCTGGAAAGAGGTCAAGAACACATGTATCTTTTGGGACCGATTCCACGTCACGTCTTTGATGAGGAGGCGTTTACGGAACGCTGTGGAGCGGTGAAGTTTGCATTGCAATCGATCAACGAGGTAACTATGAAAGAGTACTTTTCACGGGGAGGTGAGTCGCCATGGTACTCTGAGGATCCGTCCCACAGGCCTGTGGAAGTTGTTCGGGAAATATACGCAGGCGATGTGATCCTTTTCAATGCACCGATATCTGCTTGCCTCGAGGAACGGACATTGGAACGCCTCCCAAGTGTAGCAGAATAAATTAGCTTTTGAGGCTGATGTTGGCGTCGAAGGATAATATTTTGCCGATGTTTTTTGGATGGCTTGCTTTGAAATCGTTCACGGAGAGTGCCTTTGCCAAGGCAATAGCGACGAAACCCACGGAGTTTGAGCCGCCAACAGGACGTCAAGCGAAGCCCTGCGTCTTGAAGTTGGCCCTGAATTGCATCCCAAGGGAGATGAAGGTTTGCTGCCGAGTGAATATGAAAAAACGACCCGTAAAATGAAGCACGGGGTGCTGCACACACCGTGGGCCACAAACTCTTCGCTGGTGGACGCCTTTTTTTTTCTCGGAGTCCAATCCAATGACGGTGGTTGGGCTGCGGATGGCTACGGCGGGTGGGCGCCACACCACCGCCAGCACTGTGGGGCAGTTCACTGAGTGCCTGGCGGCATATTTTAATGGTTGGGAGGAATTGTCCCGAGACATGTCGTGGGAGATTATTTACGTGCAGCAGACAGACAGCACGCCGAGGAATGGCTGGCAGAGATGTGATGTCGTCAATTCCAATAATGTGAGCGACGAGAGCCGTGAGATTCGGCGTTCTGTGAGGAAGAGGAGCGCCAGTACCAAGTGTCAATATCCTACAGAGACTTTTGAAGAGACGAAGCTCTTCGAAGTGTGCAAAAAATAATAACAATAATAGGAAAATAGATTAGGAAATTGAAAGTGAACGAGTCATTTTGATTTGTGGTAAAAAATATTGTGGGATTTATTTATTTTTGGATGCTTGTGCCTGAGCATGCGGTGCGGGTACACCATCTCCATGCGGCAGCACCGCACACAAATGCCAAAATGTCCAACGCTATCGAACATAACAGTGACAGAATAAATTAGGGAGGGAAAGGGGTTGTTTGGCTTCTGGTGGAAAAACACTGGGTGATTTTTATATGTTATTTTGATTGTGTGCGCATACGAGGCGTCATTGGAGAATTGCCCCAGTATGAGAGAATCATTGTGGCTGGCGGTGTCACGGTGTTACTGCATTGTCCATTTCCTTCTATTGTGTTCGAAGGCCCATCACTAACAGAAGCATCTTTAAGGGATGGACGACGAATAAGTTCTATTGTGGAAACAGTGCGCTCCGTGTGACCCCGTGGAGTGAGGCGCCGCGTCATGGCTGGGTGAGGATCCGCTTCCGCGTGTGGCTCCTTGGGTGATTGTTTGCTCGGTGTGCGTTGTGTGTTGGCTGCGGGCTGTGGCCGTATCCCGTTGCCGTGGGATTGAACTGGAGGCGGTGGCGGTGTGTGGGCACTGCGGCGCACCACGCTGGAGGATGGCCGTCCCGTCGCTGGCGCCATGCACATTGACTGTCAGTTTCATTTCACGGACGCCTCGCCACCCGCATCGCTGCGCACCTGTTGGTCCATGCTATCGGGTTCAACTGCCCGCACATGGCAGGCCGCAGCATGGCGAGGAACGTTGTCGGTGTGCGTGGCAGGGCGCTGTCGGTGGTGGTAGACTCGACGACTGCCGCGATTTCTGCGAGGAGCCCCGCGACAGCGACGACATTAATGGCATGGAGCTGCAGGATGGCGATGGGGACGGGAGGACGCTGGAGTCGCACTGGTCGCAGCGCCACGCGAGGGATGAGTGGATGGCACCGATTGGTTGTGCCGGCTGCTGCACGGAGCTGACGCTGGCTGCACCGGCTGACCTGGGCTGCATGAGGGTGAGGTGGGAGATGGCGGAGCCGATGCGCTGGTGAAGGAATTCGTGCTGTGCGCTGCTGCAGAGGAAGTGCTCCGCATCGAAAATGAGTGAATATCCCCCAGATGTTCTGCGAAGCAGACGTTCATGCCAGACGCCGCACGTTGGATCGTTATTCCATTGGTTGCTGTGTATACGGAGTATC